CAAACGTCTACAGTTGACCGATCGAAAAAGTTCGCATTTTCTCCATCTGCCGTGGATGAGCACAAAGTCGCTCAACCTGCCAGCATTCGAAATGTTGAAGCAAACATGACTCCGATTGTAGCGCATCGTCAACGACAATCTGTCGGTCAAACGGTTCATGTAGCCTCGAGGATGGAGCACAAGACAAGCCGAGTTGGAGAACATGAAATCACGCATCATACCGATTGTCAAGTGACAGGACCCAATTCAGCGGGCGAGCCGCAGAGACGATCGTCGGACCAATGTCAGTTGTCAAGGCAACAACAGCTGGAGGTGTATTTGTCGCAAATTCGTCAGAAACAGGACAAAATTTTACTGTTAATTCAAGAACGTCTGTCCATGCCGGACATGGCCAGGAGCCCGGTCGAGGTAACGGAGGGCGAAAAAAGTGAAAATCCACCAATTTCCTTGTGCAAAATGGATACAGGCGTCGGTCAGAATGGGCAAAATACAGTTGAAATGGCTGACATTTCGACAGAAATGCCACCAAATGTGCACTCTTTGGAGGATTCTGCACAAATGCGAGCCAATCTACGCGGTTTGATACAGCAATCGGTGGCGATTTGTGCCAAAAAAGCCACCGAATTGGTGGAAAATCTGTACACAGTCAACACACCGACACTGGAATTGGACGAATGTGACCGACAAACCGGCCAACCGTTGGCCGTTGGAGGCGTCATTTCGCTGTCGCCCTCATCCGCCACAGCATCGTCACATTTGTCGCCAATTTTGATGGATTTGCACAAATCCAACCTGGACTATGAGTGCAAATTGGTGGAAACCGACACCGGCACCCAGCAACTGCACGTTCTCATGACAATCGATCTGCCCGACACCATTGACATGGAAGATGAGACGAAATGTCGACTCAAGTCTCGAGCATGTAGACTGAATGATGATGATGATGCTGATGATGCTGATGCTGAAAAGAAGTCGAAAGTCTATCTATCGATGCCGGAAACGGGTCATCAGCAGTGTTGTCCGCTTGTCGGCGATGAGAAAGTCAACAAATGTAGGCATCACTCGAAATGGGATGAGAAACCATTTGTCAAAAAGTCCTGTCACGACAGGAGTCGCAAGGTGCACATCGACAAACTGCACAGTTTGACCTTTCGTGCTGGCGGCAAATTGCACGAGCATGTTTTGCATCATGGTACCAACTCGCCGGCGGAATGTGTCGATTCTCGTGTGAAATTGACGTGTCAACTGGTCGGCGATTCGGCCGACGGTCGACAGGAGCGATTCGACAAATGTGCACATGAACCGGCGCGACGAAATGTGCAACATTGTCGCAAGCGTCGAGACGACAAATCGGCCAGCATTCGACAAATGCACCGAGAACTATGGGCCTCCGAGCATGCCCAATCGCTGGGATTGCTGCACAGCAACCAGACCGGCTATTATCACACAAACTATCCGTCCCCACCGCCGCAAATGTCGCGACAGAGTTGCCAAGAGGCCGCCAAATCCGACGTCTGGTGGCCGTCGCACGGACGTACCGACGAGCAGACTGTCGCCACACTTCACACGCCGATCATTTGGCACACAAACGAGTCGGCCAGACACAATTCCGCAGAACCCTATCATCATCATTACACAATGGGCTTTGTATATGCCAACATTATTTGTCCATTTGCCGAAAATGCTGAGATTACTCCGCTTTAGACACGCGAAATGATGCACAGTCCATCGAGTTGCCATCTTGTTTTTAGACGCGAAAGAGCCGGCTTTTGCGTCAATTGCACAGTACCATTGTGTGAATGAGTGTATGCTTTTCTCAGGCTAGTCATAGTCACCACACTGTACCACATTTTGCCCCCTATTAAGGCGTGTTTTCTATCTGTTTTCGGCTCGTTGAACGTTCGCAATAAGACAAAATAAAAGCATAATAGGACATTTATACGGACCATGATTTATTCAACGATTGTCATCTTTTCAGTATCATTACATTGATGAGGAAAGGTATAAATGGGCATAATGCAACAGAGCAATAGATCATGCTTAGAAATGGCCAGAAATATGGCATAAAGTGTAAAAGTGATAAATTAAAAGTGTGTTTATTAGAAAAAAAATTCAAGGTTAGTCTTGTCAATAACAGAAAATTATTAGCATGCAAGTTCTTCAAGACTGTCTGCAAATATTTTGTAGAACAACATTTAAATTAACTAATATAATAAATATAGTAAATCAATTTAAACCGATACTACTAATGAGTAGCACTAATTTAAAACGTTCAATTTCCTTTTGAGCAGTACACTTGCATGTCCACAGCATTAGTTCAAGTTGACCGAAAGGCGAGTTTTAACTACAATGTATAGTAGATTCAATAAAGCGTTAAATATTAAAGTGCTCTGCGCGTATCTTGTAAAATTCATAATAAGTTAATTACAAATTATAGTCATCGCAGAGCATCATCGCCTTGTGGTTACCCTCCTGAAATCACATAAACTTCGCATTAATACAATTTCAGTATTGGAATAATTCGATTTGTTAATACAACAACAGAGCAATGTATCATGATAAGAAATGGCCAAAAATGCCAATAAAATGTAAAAGTAGAATCAATTTATTAAAAATGTGTTTATTAGAAAAAAAATGCACAGCTAGGCATGTCAAAAACAGAAAAGTATTAGCATGCAATTCCTTCAAAACCGTCTACATTTATTTTGTAGAACAACATTTGAATTAACTTTTGACATACTAATACGCTAAAATATACTAAATCAATTTGAACCTATACTACTAATGAGTAGCACTAATTTATATCGTTTAATTTCCTTTTGAGCAATACATTTGCCAGCCCACAGCATTATTTCAGGTTGACCGAAAAGCGAGTACATCTTGCCTTCATACGCAAAGTTGTTTTAACTAAATGTAATTTAGATTCAATCAAGCATTAAATATTAAAGTGCTCTACGCGTGTCTGATAAAATTCATAATATATTTATCACAAATTATATTCATTTCAGAGCATCATAACCTTGTGGTTACCCTCCTGAACTCACATAAAAATCGCATATAATATAATTTCAGAATTAAAATAATTCGATTTACCAATGCCGATAAAGTGTG